GGGAGCTAAGCTGAAGCTAAGATGAAGCTAAGCTAAAGCTAAGCTAAAGCTAAGCTAAAACTAAGCTAGAGCTAAGCTAAAGCTAAACTAGAGCTAAGCTGAAGCTAAGCTAACGCTAAGCTGGAGCTAAGCTAAAGCTAAGCTAAAGCTAAGCTGAAGCTAAGCTAGAGCTAAGCTAGAGCTAAGCCAGAGCTAAGCTGAAGCTAAGCTGAAGCTAAGCTGAATCTAAGCTAGAGCTAGGCTAGAGCTAAGCTGAAGCTAAGCTAAAGCTAAGTTAAAGCTAAGCTGCAGCTAAGCTAAAGTTAAGCTAAAGCTAGGCTAGAGCTAAGCTAAAGCTAAGCTAAAGCTAAGCTAAAGCTAAGCTAAAGCTAAGCTGAAGCTAAGCTAAGCTGGGTGAACCCAGGGGGCGCAACTGGGGGAACCGCGGGGCGGGGACTGGGGGGGCCGCCCGGGGCGGTTTCCATTGCCCGGCCCCTTTAGCTAACAGAGTAAGAACCCTTCTAGGCAGAGCCTAGGTAGGGAATAATGGGATAGCAAGGGGTCGCACCAGTTCGACCCATCGGACCCCTGCCCTGTGCGCCTGCTGCTGAGGCAAGGGCTGCGCGCCCATCGATTTTGGGAAAACACAAGGGTCTGAATGCATGGCACGGCACAGTAATTTACAAATCAAGGACAGAAAGGTTCGCGCCACCCATTGCCGCAGGACACGCAGTCACGCGCTCTGCGCGAATCATGTCCACAGTTGCACGGACGGGGCCGAATGAGCTGAGCAGCAAATTCAACAGCATTTCGAGCACAACGAAACAGCCCCGCAAGTGCGCCCTGTACATCATGAATGACCTTACACAGTATGCGCGTCTAGGTTTGCCCTCCTCCTCCTCCTCCCACCTCGGTTCCCTCCTCCTGCTCCTTCTCCTCCTCCACATCCTTCTCCTCCTCCGCCTCTTCCATTCTTTCTTGCTCCTCATTCATCCCTCCCCCTCCTCCTTCTCCTCGTCACCCCCCTCCCCCCCCTCCTCTTCCTTCTCCCCCTGCTCCACCTTATCCTCCTCCTCCTCCTCACACGAGCATGCGGCGCCACGTCCGTCGAAACTCGCCCCCCCGCTGCCGCCGCCCCCAGGGCCGCCGCTGCCCCCGAAATCTCATCGCCACTTCTCCCGTCTGCGCCCCCCCCCCCCCCCCCCCCCCCCGCATCGGGGCTTCAACGGCAACGCGGTCGATCAGGCGCCTCGCCCGCCCACGGAGCATGGGATCTCGCAGCAGGGGCGGCAGGAGCGGGGCAAGGGTGGCGAGCGAGGGAGGGGGGCGGGGTGATCTGGCGCGAGCGGCGCACTCGATCGAGGCAACACTCATCGGTCGGAGAGTTCGTTCGGCTCGCGACTAGGCGCGCGACAGTATGCTCGCTTGAATTTCGGCCACGTCGCCAGCGCCCCGAGTCGAACGCCATGGTCGAGGTCCCAGAGACGCCCGGAAAACGCCGCCCTCCTTGACCGATTTCATGCACGCCACTGCGCGAAAGCAACCTAGCAACGCGTCCAACGTCAGGCTGGGCTCGACAGATGCGTCGACGATGCGCGCGTCGATGCCGCGCTGGCTGAACACGCGCGATGCCCACCCAGCACGCGGGGATGTCATGCGCAGTGAGTTCGAGCGTAAATTGTCTTCCCGCGAATCATCAAAATGACGAGTGGCGTCTACCAAGTCGGGCAATACCATCGGTTCATAATGCCCAGCAGCATAAACATCACTAACCACGCCCCTGATCCGGCCCTTTACGCTAGAAGCCAGGCTCGCTGCCATCGGGGATTAGGCATCGTTCCTCGAATTCGTCATCTGCCGAATGAACGGCGCTGAGCCCCATGGCTCCGATAGGGCCGAAGCCTTCGAGCACGCGAGCGTGGAAGGTTGAAGGGCGATAGTGCTCAACGATGGTGCGAAGAGCACGGTTCAAAGCCTCGTCTCTCCAGCACGCATAAGCAGAAGGGCCCCCCATGAGACCGACCCTATAGGGGAGGGGGGGGGGGGGGGGGGGGGCGCCGCAGAACCGACCCAGCCCCGCCCCGTCTCGGGCGGAGAAGGGGGGGGGAATTCCAGAGGGGGGTCATAAAGAGAACTCAGAAAATGGACGCGAGTAGATTACGGGACCTCGCTCTTTTTTCGCGGATGGTTTCGGAATGCGCCTGGGCGGGGGCGGGGGTCGAAGGAGGCAGAGGGCGCCGACGGGGCGGGGCAGTCGAGGGGGAAGATGAGATGGAGGAGGAGGAGGGGGAGGAGGAGACGTAGAAGGGGGGCGCGCGACACACCCCAGCACCCCGCGCGCGCTACGACACGTTGCACAGGGAGGAGGAGGAGGCAGAGAAGGAGGATGGGAAGGGGAGGACGACGGGGGGGATGGGGGGGGGGGGAGGGGGAGGAGGAGGAGGAGGAAGAGGAAGGAGAAGAAGAAGAAGAAGACTCGGCCTTGCGCGCGGCCTGCGCCGCACTCCGCCCGCGCGCGCACACGTGCAACCAGAGCCCCGCCTCGAACGCTCATCGAGCGAGTGCGACGAGGTCGATAGTGGCGCGCGCCGCGCAGACCGTGGTGCAAGTTAGCACCCAGGCAGTCGTAACTCGCAATGCCCTCGGGGGCGGGGGGCGAGAGACCCCTTCTGGCCTCCAGCGCCGAGCCCTCGTCGTTGCGGGCGACGGGCAGGCCTCCGAGGCACTCGCCCCGCCCCGAGGGGGAACCCACTCTCCGGGGGACCGACGGACGCAAGGGGAACGACGCGGCGGGGGGGCGACGGAGGACCAGGATGGGGAGAGGCGAGCAGTGGCGGAGGGGAGAGTGGGTTCCCGAATTAGAAGACATCGCCTTACTTGTCGAGCGAGGGAGGGGGGGGGCGGCCGCCCAACGGCGCGGCCAAGAGAGGGGGCCTGGCCCACTCGGTCTGCGCGGGCCAGTCGCGGCCCAGGGGCGACCGCGGGTCGACTCAGCCCAAGTTAAAGTAATATCTTGACAATACAACCGCCAGCTGCGTAGCTCTCGAGGTCGGAGAAGATTCTGGCTGCGGGGGAAAGCGAATTCGTGGCCAGTGCGATCCATGTCGACGTCGTAGCGCCGCATGCGCGGCCAGGAAATTCTGCGCAAATGAAGAGGCCGAGCACCGAACAACAAAAGAAACTATGGGGTTCCGTCTCATGAACTTGATGCTAGTCGGCCGGCGGAGTCGCCATGCCCTCCGTCCTCAGGTGCGAGAGGCCCCAAGAAGAGAGAAGGCCAACTCCAAATATGAAAAGATCGCACCAGCCGCCATGCGTCAGAAATTTTGAAGCCTTTCCCGAGCCTGTATGCGTGCGAACAGAGCGGCTCGGCGTAGCTCCCATGGCTCAGGTCCCGACGCTACTTGTGGCTACCCTTCCCCTTGTTCCTGCTCGCAGTCCTGGCATTGTCGATCAGCCGCTGCGCCAGCGCCTCGAGGTGGCCCTGTGGCGCGGCGCCGAGCTTGAGCTTGGCGCCTTCCATCTGCGCCAGCTTGATCACCGCCTGCTCTAGCTCCAGCTTGCTGATCGCCCGCTCCGTCGGCATGCCCTGCGCAGCGCCCGAGAGGGGGGCCGTCACCTCGCCCGCGAAAGAGAACTGCATCCTCGTGTAGTCGTCGTTGTAGCACTTCTTCAGCCTGACGCGCCCAATCGCTAAGCCGAGCTCCGCCGCCGCACAGCACAACGCGAACTTCCCGAAGAAGAGGGCCAAGATCTCGTGCGCCTTGGCCGCCCCCTCCTTGAACTTCTCGGAGTCTACCATCGACTTGCACACGCCTCGCGCGATGTACAAATATGGCGGGTCCCAGCATGGGCTTCGCGGCCGCGATGCTCGCCGCATCCGCGCACTGTTTCCCCGCGCGCCTCCCCGCGGCGACCAGGAAGCACGCCGCGGGGATGATGAGGCACACCCGCTCCGACGCTGCCAGGTCCCTGAGCACCTGCGCGCGCATGCACGCCATCTTGAGCAAGATGGGGACTGCCGTCTGCATGTCTCGGGCCCGCAGGGCCCCCTCGACCTCCTGGAGGCCGTCCTCGGCGGCGTCCGCCAGCTCTCCCACCTGCTGCTTCTTGCTGGGAGGTGCGTCTGCCCCGTTGCCCTGGCCCTCTGGCCCGGGTCGCCTGCGCTTCTTGAGCAGCTCGTTCAAGTCCATGCTGCCCGCGGCGTCGCCCATCGCGTCGCCGAGCCAGAGGGCGGCGTAGCGCTGGCTCTCCCAGCGCGCAAAGAAAACAAGTGTGACGTTGAAGGTGTACGAGATCTTGAGCCACATAGCTGTATACTGGGCAGTCCAGGGAGAATGGCTGGACCACCTCGGCTGCTGTGTAGCTGCTACGTCCAATGGCACATCGATTGCGCACATGCGATCTCATCGCGTGGCGTCGGGCATTCTCCCGTGCGCTGAGGACCTGGAGGCGCCTCAAACACTGATTCGTGATCGTGAGTAATGATGTTTCGCTAAGAATGTTGCGAGCTCTGCCAGCGCGCAGCAAGAGGGCCTCCATGCTACCGAAGGCGAAGGGGTCGCCACAGCTGATCCCGTCCGAGTTCCTCAAGTAGCAGCGATACTCGCCGAGGCCCTCGAGCTCCTCATCCCCCTCCACCTCCAGAGCCATCGGAACCTTTTGGGGGGGGGCCCATGGGAGGTGCAATGGCTATCGAAAAATGAGAGGCCCTGATAGTGGTGAAGTCGATCATAGCCCAATCGTCGAACTCGTTTGTATAGAATAAACCCAAGAGTGGAAAATCCTCAGGGACCAGGTCAACGAATTCCTCCGAGAGGTTTCTGGCGAACGCGAGGTCCTCTAAGAGTTGACGGGCCCAGGGATTCGCCGTTTCGCGGATCGCCCAGTCGGGGCTCATGCTCGGGATCCCATTTTGAGCGCCTAGAATACATGCTCAGACTTGCCTGTGGGCGCTGGGGAACCTGATCCAAGATTGGTACCACCTGAGCCGACGGAGACGGAGTTCATCTGATATGGGGAGAATCTGCCAATAATGCCAGACACGCTGTGAGCTCCACCTCCAGAGTTCCCCACAGTGGTCCTCGGTGCCCTTGACCCCCGAGCCCCTGCGCATGGCCCTCAACATGACCTCGTCGCATGCCAGGGTGAAGCTTCTATCTGGCACTCGCCCCTCCATCCCCGACAACAACGCCCCCTGCACGTAAGAGAGCATGGCCATCCTCTTCACGCTGCGGGCGGCCTCGTGAACCAGGATGGACGAGGTAAGGCCGAGGCCAGTCCGCCCCGCCTGTAATCTGTTTTCCTTTCTCAATATGTAGAGATCCCTGCGCCGTCAGCCAACCGCCGAGCATGCGCATGTAGCGTCCAAAAATGCCAGAGAGGCGCAGGTCGCCCGCGCGCAATACACGACGCTGAGCGATGCACCCCTTGCCGAAGATCCGAGCGAGAGCAACGCGCTTGCCCTCGTTGGGGCCCACCCCGACGTTGTCCAGGGAGCACGCCAGCTTACTACTACTGACCTGTGCCAGCGCCGTGGGGCGTCGCGCCCCCCCCCCCCCCCCCCCCCATCCTCCTCTAAAGAGTTCTGGGCCACACCCTGGAATAACCTTCTTAGTTATATCGTCTGCGTACAAAGTGATGCCCGCGTCCGCGCTCGCGCCGTCAACCCCCTGCGCCTGCGCGTACGCGTGCGAACTCGCACCCGCCCTCCAGCTCAGGAACGGACCCAGGCCCTGCAGGTAGAAATACGGGAAGCCTCTGGCGGGGTTAGGGTGCCCCATGAGCTCTCCAGAAGTAGGCCTCAGGGACAATGGGCCCCTCGGGGGCCGTGATCTGCATCGCCGTCTGCATCGTGCGAGTGCGCTGGAACCGCGCGTCCTCGGGTAGGTACAGGGCATCCAGGGCTTCCAGAATCGCGCCCCGTTTCGTGCTCGCGAAAGCGTTGGTGGCGTCTTCGTTTATAATAGCGCGTGACAAACCAAGTTTCTGGAGCCTCCAAGACGCGCAGGCCCGGGCCGCGACGGCGCCCCCACGCCGGCGGCGCCGAGAGAAGCCGCGGCAGAAGCACGGCAGGGCCCCACGAAGAAGACGGGCAAGCTGCCAAAGATGCGCGTTCCAGGCCTTGCCCAGAGGGCAGAAAAGAGTTGGCCCACCGGGCCAGTCTTGCCGCTGCCCTTGTCTAGGCCCACGATCCGCGAAATATATCAAAAATTAAATGAGTCGAGCCCACACGTCTGAAAGATGCAACAACGTCGAGGAGCCGCCCCTTGAAAGCCTGAGCGGTAAACGGCGCTGGGCAAGAGCCCACGCCGCCTCGCTGGAACTTGCCCCACTGGGCGGGGTCAATGAGGATCAACAAAAGCTCCGAGGGCATGCTCCAATCGGGCGTGGCCCGACGTTTCGGCGCCCGTCGGAGCGCACCCACGATTCCCTGCGCGTCGAAGCCGGCGGCCCCGAGGTCCACCATCTGCATGGCGTCGCAGCGTTGCTGGTCCGCGCGCCTCACCTCATCGTCGAGGAAGACGCGGTCGAACCTCTCGATCAGCTCCTGCTGCAGGTCGTAGTCGATGGCCGAAAGTCCGCCCAGCTGAGCGGGGAGCCGAAGAAAGTCCGCGATGTCCTGGGGCGTGCAGTTCCCCTCTCGAGCCTTGAAGCATCTGCGATGTCGAGGGCCCCGCCCTCGCCGAGCAAGCCGACGAATGAGGGTCTGGACCGCGAAATGGTCGTGATCCTTCCATGCCTGGCCGGGCTCCGCCACTAAGAGTTCGCCCCGATCCTCGGCGATCTGGCGCGAGAGCTGACGTAGGCGGAAGGTGATGCGAGAGAGCTCCATCTCCGCGTCCAGGCGTTCATCTGACGCCCTCCCGACGTGAACTTCGCGCATGCGACGCCTCCTGGATAAAACGTCAGATCGCTGCTTCTCAAGGAGAGACTTCTCCGCCTCCTGGGGCGATGGTCGCGTGAACTCCTCCAGCGCCGCCTCCTTGGATAAAAACGAAATCGAAGTCCACGACTCGTCTGTAGTGGGGCGCGAACAGAGCCGCGCCCATTCGCCCTCTGGGATCGTCAGGATCACCTCGCGAATGCGCTGGACAGCCGCGGCGCGCTCCACGCCCCCCCTCAGGGCCCTCATCACCCTGTCGAAGTCCCAGCGCTGGCGGGGCACGGGGGGCGCCTCGAAGCTGCACTCGAATTCCACGAAGACGGGGCGGTGGCCCCCGTCGCCAGGCGCGCTCACTGGCCGAAGGCGCCGCCCCGCCCCACTCAACCTCAGCCTGCCTCTGCCTCAGCCTCAGCCTGCTTCAGCCTCAGCCTCAGTCTGCCGTCGGCCTCGGCCTCAGCCTCAGCCTCAGCCTCAGCCTCAGCCTGCCTCAGCATCAGCCTGCCTCAGCCTCAGCCTCAGCCTCGGCCTGCCTCAGCCTCAGCCTCAGCCTCAGCCTCAGCCTGCTTCAGCCTCAGCCTCAGTCTGCCCGCAGCCCCGGCCTCAGCCTCAGCCTGCCTCAGCCTGAGCCTGCCTCAGCCTCAGCCTCAGCCTTAGCCTACCTCAGCCTCAGCCTGCCTCAGCCTCAGCCTCAGCCTGCCTCAGCCTCAGCCTCAGCCTGCTTCAGCCACAAACTCAGCCTCAGCCTCAGCCTCAGCTCAGCCTGCAGCCTCAGCCTCAGCCTCAGCATCAGCCTGCCTCAGCCTCAGCCTCAGCCTCCTCAGCTCAGCCTCAGCCTGCTTCAGCCTCAGCCTCAGTCTGCCTTCAGCCTCGGCCTCAGCCTCAGCCTGCCTTCAGCCTCCTCAGCCTCAGCCTGCCTCAGCCTGCCGCCTCAGCCTCAGCCTCCTCAGCCTCATCAGCCTGCCTCAGCTCAGCCTCAGCCTCAGCCTTGGCCTCAGCCTCAGCTCAGCCTCAGCCTGCCTCAGCCTCAGCCTGCCTCAGCCTCAGCCTCAGCCTGCTTCAGCCTCAGCCTCAGTCTGCCTTCAGCCTCGGCCTCAGCCTCAGGCTGCCTCAGCCTCAGCCTGCATCAGCCTCAGCCTCAGCCTCAGCCTGCCTCAGCATCAGCCTGCCTCAGCCTCAGCCTCAGCCTGCCTCAGCCTCAGCCTCAGCCTGCTTCAGCCTCAGCCTCAGTGCTTCAGCCTTCAGCCTCAGCGCCTCAGCCTCAGCCTGTCAGCCTCAGCCTGCATCAGCCTCAGCCTCAGCCTCAGCCTCAGCCTGCTTTAGCCTCAGCCTCAGTCTGCCTTCAGCCTCGGCCTCAGCCTCAGCCTCAGCCTGCATGCCTCTGCTTCAGCCTCAGCCTCAGCCTCAGCAGCCTTCAGCCTCAGCCTCAGCCTCAGCCTCAGCCTCGCCTCAGCCTCAGCCTCAGCCTGCTTCAGCCTCAGCCTCAGTCGGCCTTCAGCCTCGGCCTCAGCCTCAGCCTGCCTCAGCCTCAGCCTGCCTCAGCCTGAGCATCAGCCTGCCTCCGCATTCAAAATGTGGCCCGGGAGTTGAATTCTGGGAACTCAAAGAACACGAAGTGGCCTACAGCTGGCCCCGGGCGTTCAAAATCATGCCCAGGAGTTGAATTCTGGGAACTCGAAGACCACGAAGTGGCCTATAGTTGGCTCCAGGCATCCAAAATGTGGCCCGGGAGTGGAGTTCTGGAAAGTCCAAGAGCACGAAGTGGCCTACAGCTGGCTCCGAGCATCCAAAATGTGGCCCGGGAATGGAATTCTGGGAAGTCGAAGAGCACGAAGTGGCCTACTGTTGGCTCCGAGCATCCAAAATGTGGCCCGGGAATAGAGTTCTGGGAAGTCGAAGAGCACGAAGTGGCCTACAGTTGGTTCCGGGCATTCAAGATGTGGCCCGGGAATGGAGTTCTGGGAGGTCGACGAGCACGAAGTGTGTGACTGTTTGCTTAAAACGAGCCCGGCCCTGAGCCCGCGGATGCCGCCCAGACCTCCCTTCTGAGTCATCAGATGCTCTCTTTTGACACCACTAGAAAACTATCAGTCTTCGCTGCGAGGTTTTTATATATTTTTTAATTGGAGGAGGAGGAAGGGGAAGAAGAGGACGAGGAACGGAGGAGAAAGGGCAGAGAAGGCGGAGAACGGGGAGACGAGGGCGAGGAGGAGGCGAGGAGGAGGCGAGGAGGAGGCGGAGCAGGTGGAATGAACACGATTTGGCTTGCTTCCGCGCGAAACGCCCCCACCCCCCACCCTGCCCATTTCATTACCACATGGGCCATGACGGTTAGCTCCATGAAGAAGTGATGCTTGGGCACGAAACCGACGACAGCCCTCTGCGTGAATGTATTTGCACGTTGCATCAAGTCAGTCAGCATTTGGCATTGCTGATTTGTCGGAACTAATGGCACGTCTCCGACGATATCCAAGTACGCTGAGAGCGCTAGACCAAAGTGCACTAACTCCCGATGGAAAATAAATGCTCGCCCCACGTGTCAAGTCAATGAACTGCCCAGAGAAGTGCGAGGCCCGTCTTGGCAGCCTTCAATTTCGAGCGGTGCCCGAGGCGGGAAAGATAAGCCGAACGCCGAGCGCCTCGCTGAGGGCCTATCATAGATAACGTGAAATCGTTTATCTTCTCATCCGCGGCAACGCCAGCTCGTTCTTGCCAGTTGATCAACTGTTCACGTAAATTATTAGCCCCAATCTCGAACGCCACTTCTTGTTTTTCCTACTAGTTCCCACGGGTTGGCTAACAATATCCACCAACGCACTGCCCACGCGAACCTGGCCGCGGGGCCGAAGTAAACGGCGTGGAGCGCGCCCGCGCACAGGTCGTCAATTGCGGCCCCCGTTCGACGGGCGGATAGAGGACGCCCGCGCACGACTGAATCCTGGGGCCGGGCAATTGCCCCGAGCGAAGCGCGCCAGAACAGAGCTCGCAACGGGGGGGGGCATCTCCTCAAACGCTCCGACGTCACCCGTCTCAGAAGACGGTTCTGGCCGATCCCCAGATTTCAACCTGAGATCGCCAGGGTCGCCTTGAAGATGCCGCCCCCGAGCTCCCCTTCCAAATGCGGGGCTCAGACGGCCACCCCTAACAATGCGCATTTGCGCGCGCCTGTTCGGGACATCGACATGCACGCTACAACGATTGCACCGATCATCACACGACTCTTGGGTCTTTTTTTTTTCCCACGGGTGGACATACAAACTACAACCTAGATAGTGCGAATGGGAGTCGCCGAACTTCGCGCAGCAAGACGGGCACAAGAGCAAGTGAGAATTCACGAAAGGGAAGCCGAGCGCACGCGACAGCTCTGCCAAATCACCTTTGACCCAAATCACCACGGCATTGCATTTCAGGGGCCGACATTTTGCCGTCGCCAGACGTAGCAAGGGATCGTCTGCATCGAACAATTCGCTATTTGGTTTTCGCTCGCGTCGAGTTCCATTCGCCGCGCGTTCGAGCACCCGCGCTACTTCATCAAGAATCGGGCATATACTACACCAGCCTCGACATCCACATCTACCCGTCTCTTGTAATCTCAAACTACACAGCCAGCATCGTTGCTCTGTGACTAACTTTACAAGCCATATGCCTAGCACTGTTCGGGGGCGCCCTGCGATCATTGAAGCATACCGCACGCCGTCGCAAAAGATAGCCAAGGGGAGCGGCAGTGGCTGACCACCCCCCCCCCCCCCCGGCACGTCTTGACAATGTGATTATGTTGACAGATTCGAGGCCATTGCTTTTTTAAAAGACACCTGCTGAATCAGTTCTGGATGTTCTGCAACTTCGTCATCAATGACTTCCAACACTGCGGAGATAGGCACATCGATGCAGGCGCGAATTTTTTTTCGCACTGCGTCATGCCAAGACACTTCTGCCAAAATACCGGCCCTGGGCCTGGAAGAACTCCATCGAGCTCGCGTCTGCACGAGCCGCTCGAACGAGACGGCGGCTGAGAAAATATTGCGAAATCGCCCCCCGGAACACCGGCTTTGGAACAGCAGCAGCACGCAATACACGAATCTTGAGCGGCAATTTTGTCTCGCGCTTTCCAACCCACCAATAACCTAAGAAGAACGACGCCACTGTCCCGCCATTGCTGGCGCGTGGCTTCGTCGCCTGAGTCCGCCACGGCTTGGAACTCCACGCCCGGCGCCCCGACGGCTGCAAGCCTCGCGCGCGCACCCCGCAACACGGCAAAGCGCCTCGAGAAGACGATGAGAAAGGAGGAGGGACGAGCGCGCGCAGTCGGCAGGGGAGGGCCGGAGTGCAGGAGCGATTCGGAATGCGCGATGAGCCAGACGCATTGAAGGTTGCATGCGGAGCGCAAGTGCGCCAGCGGCATCGTCGATCTGACGCGCACAATCCGAAGAACACAACGCAATTGGGCCCCCAACGGCCGCCCTGAGGTTCCCATGGGGCCCCCTGGGGCCCCCTGGAGTTCCCGTGAGTCCCCATGGCGTTCCCATGGTGTTCCCATGGTGTTCCCCCGGCGTTCCCACGGCGCCCCCGTGGCGTTCCCCTGGCATTCCCGCGGGGTCCCCCGGCAGCGCGGGATGACGACGTGAACTCTAGGTTGTTCGTTTCGCCGGGGACATCCTCATATTTGCGCGCGATTCACATGCCCCCCCCCCCCCCGGGTGCGTGGGAGCCCTTGTGCGCGATTCACATGGCATCCCCCAGTTGCGCGGGATCAGCATGGGAGTTCTCGAACGCGCGTGAATTTCCCACGGCGGCGTTTTGCTCTTTGCAATTGTTCGTTGGCGCCCGATCTTTCTCGGGTGTTCATGCCATCACGACGGCGACAAAACGCCCCCACGCGCGCGCAATTCGCCCCCGAACGAGAAAAGTTTGAGAGCGAGAGAGCTTGCTCTGTGCAGCAGCGAAACCTGAGGCAGCATCCCGCTGCGTCTTGCGGCACCCGCACTGCCTCGCCCATGCGAGGCTGTCGCCTTCAAAACACATGTGGACACACCGGGTCTCCAGGCGCACCTCGCGAGCACAAGTATCGAGGCCGCTGGAACGCAATGGATTGGGCGAGCTTCCCAACGGCGCGAGCCGCCCCCCCCCCACACACACACACACACCACACCACACCACACACCACCCACAACACACACACACACACAACCACACACCACACACCCACACACCACAAACCACACACACACACACCACACACACCACCACCACCACCACCACCACAACCCAACACCACCCACCCCACCACCCCCATTTTTCCAACCCCTCCCTCCCCCACCCCCCCACCCCCACCCCCTCCCCCCCACCACCCCCACCCCACCCCCCATTCATTCCACCCCCACCCCACACCTTTGGCCCCACCCCTCCACCTCGCGATTTGTCCCCTATCCCCTCCCCACCATTCGCATTTTGCAATTCCACTGCTCCGGAAGCTGGTTTCGCACCGCGCAGATGGAAAAGATCAGGACCGCGATATTGTCTTATAAGGACAATGGAGGCGACGGCGGATTGGGGGGTGAAAGAGGTCAGTGAAGGGGGGAAGGAGGGGAGGAAAGGGCCCCCCTGCACTTCAGGGGGGGGGGGGGGGGGAAGGAAAGTGGAGCGGGGGGGGGGCGGGGGGGCGAAGCTCAGGGCGACGGAGGAAGGAGAAGGAAGGAGGGAGGAAGGAGGAGGAGGGGGGCGAGGGCGAAAGGTGAAGGAGGCGGGGAGGAGGAGGAGGAGGAGGAGAAGGAGGAGGAGGAGGAGGAGGAGGAGGAGGAAGAGGGGGGGGGTGGGAGGAGGAGGAAGAAGAGGAGGAGGAGGAGGAGGAGGTGGAGGAGGGAGGAGGAAGGAGGGGGCACTCGCGCTACCCAGCACGCGGCAGACTGACTGCCTAGGCCCGAGCTTCGCGCAGGGCCACCTGCTGCCCGAGCAGCGACATCACACCCTGGGCGTCCAGCAACTTCGCGCCCATGCGCAAGCAGAACTTGTCGAGGCTCACTTTGAAAGCGCCCTTGCTGAGAGCACTGGCCTTCTTGAAGTCGTCGATGTCCACTGCGCGCAAGAACGAGTCAAAGAAGGGGCCTTCCTCCCTGAAGTTCGCCGACGCCTCGAACTTGCCCCCTGCAGCGACGCCAAGTCGGATTGGGCCCAGCTCCACTTCGGCATGGTACGCACGTCCTTCATCAGCGACCCGCACTGGGCAGACGCGATGAAGAAGGTGCTCCTCAGTTGCTTCGCCCCCACCTCATAGTTGCCCTTCAACGCCGCGAGGCCGCGAGGCTTCGAGCCCATGGGCTTGCCCTTTGTCTTCGCCTTGGCCTCGGGGGTCGCGGTCGCCGCCACCTGGCCACCCTCGCGATGGGCGCGTGCGGGTTGGGGCTCCAGCAGCGGCGTCATGCGAAGCCTTCTCAGCTGGCTGCTTCTGCTCCGCTGGATCCTGCTGCCCCCCCCTTTCTCTTGGGTGGTGGAATCCTTCGTCTTCTTCTTCGGTGGAGGCGTCTCCTCTGCCGCTGCCACGGGCCCCTCCTCGCGCGGCGCGTCGGTCGACCCCTTGGCCTTGCGCTGCTGGTAGCGCCACCTCATGGTCAACTCCCGCGCTTTTAGCGTCGTCTCAGTCTGCGCGTCGACGGGGAACGCCCACCTGACCACGCGCGCGAAGCCGTGGAACTGGAAATAATTAGGGCCAGCGCCGAGGCAGCTCGTCGCGCTCTGGATTGCATCGCGCAGTCCCTCGGGGCCCCCTCCTTGCAGCCAGGCAATGCGCAATCGCAGAGGGCCCACTTGGGCCGCGGACAAGGGGGGAGTTTCGCAAATCACGGCGGCCGCGCGCGGCCACATAAGGCCATTCGCTCGGAGAAGGGGGGCGCCACAATGAGGAGGGCGAGGGGGGAGCTAGGGCGAGCGGAGGAGGAAGACGAGAAAAGGAGGAGGGGACGGCCTAGGGAGATGGAGGAGGAGGAGAGAAGAGGAGGAGAAGGACGAGAGGGGGTAGAGGAGGAGGAGAAGGACAAACGGAGCAAGCCGCTGACCGAAAGTGCTTCTATCGAGTCGCCACTGCACGCATGAGGCGTCGGCCCCGTGGCCCCTCACGGTCGCATCCTTGTCCCCCTTCCTGCGAGCCCCCTTCCGCTCCCCCATGCACTCGCTGCACTTCTCCCTGCGCCGGCCCCCCCATGAAGGCGGCCTGCGCGGGCCGCCCTGAGACCTTCTCGCATCTGGCACGCAAGTTTGGATCTGCACCCCTGGCCCGCCCCCACCTGCCAGCGACGGCGTGGGTCCTGCTCGACGTCGGGACCTCGCAACCGCTGTCCCCGACGCTTTGCCGGAACGCAAGTTCTGCCGCGACGGCATCCTTCACGTCCGAAGGCTCGCCCTCCTTCAGATTCTCCCCGTACTTGTTGAAGTGCGCATTCGACAGCGCGTGGAGCGCCTCGTCGGTCTCCTCAATGTCCCCAGCCGTCTGCTGCACGATGGATTTCGCGGCCCTCAGCTTCCCGGCGCCCATCCGGCAATGGAATTCGCCCACCGCGCCGTCGAAAGCCTCGGGGGGAGAGGGCGCAGTGACAGTAGATGAGCTTTGCTAGTATATCCTACTGCTACCCTAATGCACGCAGCACGACACATGCACTGCATGCGCGCGGAAAGGAGGAGTGGGCGGATGAGGGGGGACGACGACGACGACGACGAGGCAGGACAAGGGGGGGGGGGCTGGAGGAGAAGGAAGAGGAGCCCGAGGAGGAGGAGGGGGAGCAGCAGCAGGAGCAGGATGAGGAATGAGCCGGCCCAAGGCGCCTGATCGCCCATGTTGCGCATCATCTCGGGGAGGCCAGGGACCGCCATGTCGCTGTCTGAGCGCGCTGCGAGAATGTCAGGGATCTCCATGCGGCAGGTGGTTGCTCTGCGGCTGGAGCAAGCGGTTGCTCTGCGGCAGGTGGTGGCTGTTCGGCTGGGGCAGGCGGTTGCTCGTCGGCTCGATCAGCGGGTTGCTCTGCGACTGCAGCAGGTCGTGCATCTGCGGCTGGCTCAGCAAGCGTCTCGGCTGCATCCGGCAGGATGTCTACAAGGCTCTCTGGCGAAGGTTGCTCCACGGGCGGATCCACGAGCGCCTCGTCGTCCGAATCCAGGGCCTGCCGCTGAGAAGCGACGTTCTGCTGCGGCTGCTCATCGTCTGATACGGCCTTCGGCGGCGCGTCAGGCACGGTCTCTGCATCTGCAACGGCGTCGCGAGGAGAGGACTCGACGACGATCCGACGAACGCCGCCAGGGGGGGCCATCTGAATGACACCCTCGGCCGGCGCGCTTCAGAAGTTACGAGGGGCCCTAGCGACGTCGCTTGGGAAAGACGGCAGCGAGAATGCATTCGATGCGATCGAAAGGCCATCGGCGACAGCGACGAGGACGACTACAATGTCGGAACCTTGAACGCCGCTCTTCTTTCCAAATGTTTGTCGCTCTCCTCTTTAATCAGTTTCTGAGGCTGCTCTGCACATCTCTATCCGACGTTTCAAAGTCCCCTCGTGTGATTATTGTTGTTCCCGCCGCTTGAGCCGTGCCCACTCTGTCTCTGGCATCACGCAGCTCTCATCCACATCCCCTCCTCGACCTCCCCACCCATCCTCGACCTCGGCCCCTCCCCTCTCCCTTTTCAACCAGCCCCCTCTCGTCCTACTCCTCCAGTTGGACGCCAGTGGGAACCCAATGGGAATTCCATGGGAGCTACGTGGGAACTCAGTGGGAACTCAATGGGGACTCAATCGGAACTCAATGGGAAGTCAATAGGAACGCAATGGGAACTCAGTGGGAACTCCATGGGAACCCTCACAAATATTTGAACGTCTGAAGCGTTTTGAAACCCGAGGCTGTTCAATCTCTGGCGGAGGCTCGGCGCTGCTGACCCTAGAAAAACTCGCCATCTAGCCTGTCGACGGGGGCCGCCTTAGGAATCCCCAGATGCAGCGTCGGCAAGGCGAGCGGAGCAGAGGCCTTCGGGTCTGCGCAGGCCTGCGGGGCAGGGGCCCTCGAGGCTGCAGCAGCCTTCGAGGGCCTGGGAACATCCTTGGACGCAGACGCCTTGCCTTCGACCTTATGTTCCTTCGCCTCGGGCTCCGAGGCGTCGGTGACGATGGCCGATTTGTCGGCCTCGATCTTGAGCGCGGGCGTCTCGGGGCCGGGCTGCTCCCGGGCCCCCCCTCGGGCTCGGTGCTCGCCGGCGCCGTCTCCGACGCGCGGGGCGCCGAAGCTGCCGAAGCTGTCGGCGCCTTGGAGGTGCAATCTGGCGGGTTCTCCGTCTGCTGGGCGCGTTTCTCCTGCTTCGCCCGGTCCTTCGACAAGTCCCCAGTGGCGCACTCCTTCGCCAGATCGCGCATGAAGGCGCTCGCCCTCGCGCGCATCTCCTTGCCGTGCTCCTGGAGCACAATCTGGGCAATCGTGTCTACTTTCTAGGAATGCCGTCGACCTTGTGCTGCGTCTGAATCACAAGCCTCCCTCTCTCCACGAACTGTTTCAGCGCCACGTGCTCGTTATCCGCGCCGGCGACAGGCGCTGCGAGCATCGCGCCGGCGCCTCTGCGAGCGGGCCCCGCGCCCATCAGGTCTCCGACCGCAAGCGTCGGGATCTCCCGCGAGCGCGATCCCCGCCGAGCCACCGCCAGATCGCTCGGCGGGCTGCTCTTGTTCAGAGGCGCGGGCCCCTCGCTGCGCTTCCCCTTGGGCGCCTCGCCCCCGCGCCGGGCGCCGTCGGCGCGCTGGCGGATCGCGAAGCGGCAGGCAGCCTTTAGGCAAGCCCAACTCATCATCATCATCATCATCATCATCCTCATCATCATCAGCATCATCATCATCATCATCATCATCATCCTACACTTGATATTCCTTCATCCTCGCCCCTCCTCTGGATTTCCTCCTCTTTTCCTCGCCCACCTCTAAGTCCTCGCCCTCTCCATCCTGATCCCCCATCCCCCTCCCCCATCCCCCCGCGGTTCCTCCCCCCCGCCCCCTCGCTGCCCCCCTTCCTCCTCCGGGGGGGGCGGGGCCTCTAGATTGCCCGCGCCCCCGGCTCGGGTCGCGGGGGGCACGTCGCGATCGAGAACGCCGCAGCCCCCCCCCCCGGCCGACGTCGGGGGAGCGACGACGACGGCAGAAGAAGACAGGCGGAAGGAGGGAGAAACCTGGGGAGGACAAAGCCGAGGAGCAGGGGGCGCCGAAGGAGAGGAGACGCGGGCAACGGAGGCGACGATGACGACGACAGCTTTGGAAGGACGACGACGCGATTAGCCCGAGCAGTTCAAACCATGAAGGAGGAGAACCCCCCCCCCAAAAAAAAACTGTTTTTGGCATGAGCGTTCTGGCCCCGTTGGCCTTCATGTCGCGGTCGTAAACGCAGTCGTAGTTGACGAACTTGTCGAGGCGATCGTCGGGCTCATCGCGAGCAGCAGGTCGCTTGTGAATGGTGCCTATGTCATCGTCGTCGCCGACGTTCACGTTGAAGCCGGGGTGCAGCTTCTGAACGAAAGGTATCACCCAGCGCGGCGGCCGCTTGTTCGGTCGAGCTACAGCCTTCGCAACCCCTCTGCCAATATCGCGCGCCATCATCCGCAATCGCGTCGCTTGCTTCGTCTTC